AGCCAGCTGCCCACCCACAGGCAGACACACATCAACTAGATAAACATCGTAACTCCGGTCTGGTAAAATAAACAGTGGACACAGGTTTGCGCGCCGCCTTTCAAGCCGTCGCAAATCCTCTCAAACAGGACAGGGTTCGGCGCGCTCTGATCTCGGCAGTGACCGTCGCCGCGGCAGCACGCGCAGCTGGCGGTGCTGAGCGGACTGGACAGGGTTCGGCGCGTTCTGATCTCGGCGGAAGCCGCCGCCGCAGCAGCACGCGCAGGTGGCGGCGCTGAGCGGACTGGACAGGGTTCGGCGCGCTCTGACCTCGGCAGTGGCCGCCGCCGCAGCAGCACGCGCAGGTGGCGGTGCTGAGCGGACTGGACAGGGTTCGGCGCGCTCTGACCTCGGCAGTGGCCGCCGCCGCAGCAGCACGCGCAGTTGGCGGTGCTGAGCGGACTGGACAGGGTTCGGCACGCTCTGACCTCGGCAGTGGCCGCCGCCGCAGCAGCACGCGCAACTGGCGGTGCTGAGCGGCACGTCCAGCCGCAGGCAACACGCTCATGTCACGACAGCTGGCGCCACCGAGCCGTGTGCCGACGTGGTCCAGCCTTGTCCGGCGGGCCATCGATACCCGGGTGGTCCAGTGAGCTTGATGTGCTTTTACAGGTCCGTGAGCTTGATGCGCTTTGACACCTACGTTTCTCACTATCAAGACCCGTAAGGGACTGGGTCAAATACGCTATCAGGGCACTTGCCTGATGGGACTATTTTTGAGCCTCCGTAACGGATGATCCCAGTGATTTCAAAAGGTGATTATAAATTGTCATGAAGACGTATTGTTTGGTTCTGTGCTGGAGCAGCAACAGGCGTCGTTACAAAAGCAATGCCGGCGTGTTGGTTCCTGGCTCAGCGACACGTATCAGCAAGTTGCTCATAGAATCTTCTGAAGTCCTTTTTGAAAAAGATTATAGCCAATACTAAAACTTTTTTAAAGAAAAATCATGCTTGACGTTCAGTCTGTACTGAATGTGACGATGCTGGAGATGTTTCTGCATAAACACCCACCCAGGCTTCATATTTTAGCACACAGCGACAGCAGCAAGGCAGGTGAAGGCTACGCAGAGCGCCGTCACTGCAGCCGAGGCATGCGGCGGACTCGGCCGGGGCCGGCGCCCGACGCCGGCGCCGAGTCGACGGGCCCGGGCCGCCGTCGTCGGCGGGGCGGTGACCGGCCGACGGCCGGTGCCATTGCTCACGGCCGGCCTCTCTGATGGCAGCTTAGGCCAAGTCATAACAATGACGGACGGTCCCGCGGGTGCCGCCGGCTCGCCCGTTTCGCAGGCCGCCGCCGAAATCACCATCTAATGAATCGCCGGCCACCGCCACTTTGCTGGAAATTGAGAAAGCATCGTCGAAATTGGGCCGTGGTGAGTGCGCCGATGGAGTGTGGAGGCTCGGCGCGGAGGTGGACCATACCACGGAGATGGACCATACCGCGAGGTGGACCATACCACGGAGGTGGACCATACCACGGAGATGGACCATACCGCTGAGGTGGACCATACCGCGAGGTGGACCATACCACGAAGGTTTGCGACACCACGGAGGTGTACCCATACCGCGGAGGTGTACCCATACCGCGGAGGTGGACCATAACGCGGAGGTGTACTATACCACGGAGGTGTACCCATACCGCGGAGGTGTACCCATACCGCGGAGGTGGACCATACCGCGCAGGCGAGCCATACCGCGGAGGAAGACCGGCGCTGCCGCCGGGGCGATAGCGTGCCGTACGTGGAGAGGCGTATATCATTTGTTCGCATGATGTACGAATGTAAGAATAATGATGAAAACGGCTATGTCTCGTCCCCAATTGCACATCCATCGACATGATTATCGGTGCTTTTGAATGTATCCCTCTTCGCCGAGCCTTAAATAAGTAAGTCACGCTAAAGTCAGCGCGAGTTTAGCTTACGTTAAATGCGATTTACACCTCATTTCACTAGTAACTTATTACAGGCAATACACAGAGTGATTTCACCGTGGATTTCACCGAGGTCACCGACTGTACGTATCCCTTTCCCATGAAACCGAAGCCGACCGACGCACGCGTCAGTGGCGGCCTGCTGCCGGCAGGAGGCCGACCGACGCACGCGTCAGTGGCGACCTGCTGCCGAGGAAGCCGACCGACGCACGCGTCAGTGGCGACCTGCTGCCTGCAGGAAGCCGACCGACGCACGCGTCAGTGGCGACCTGCTGCCGGCAGGAAGCCGACCGACGCACGCGTCAGTGGCGACCTGCTGCCGCAGGAAGCCGACCGACGCACGTGTCAGCGGCGCCTGCTGCCTGCAGGAAGCCGACCGACGCACGCGTCAGTGGCGACCTGCTGCCGATAGGAAGCCGTCCGACGCACGTGTCAGTGGCGACCTGCCGATAGGAAACCGACCGACGCACGCGTCAGTGGCGACCTGCTGCCGGCAGGAAGCCGTGAAATCGCTCTGATTTACCTCCCTGGCCAAGCCGTTTGTTGCATTTAAGTTATCATGTGTCATTTAATGCTGTCATAAATACTGCCGCCTGACGGCTAGAAGCAGCACGGCGATAGTCCAGTAAAGCAGGTCAGCTCGCACCGCTGGCTGAGACCTGCTGAGATCGAGACATCAGCGTGCTCGCAGCACGCGCGGGCTCCCAGCGCGCGGAACTTTGACACTCTGCTGGATCGCGGTGATCATTCTGTGAGTGTAGGGCTGTTTGGCTGCAAGACTTACGGGAAGCGTCAAGAGCAGTCATGTAACGGGTCCAAGCTACCGAGTGTGCGATAGAGTTATTACGTCAATCGGTCACTCAATTGCAGCCGGCATTAGGCACTATTCCTGCGGTGAATTAGTGATGTCACTGCGCTGGAAACAAGCATTGGACACCAATGTGAGTTGCACTTATAGATTGTAACGTCATTGCAAATATTTCCTCACAAATTTTAGCTTTTGAGCTCCCAAGCGCCAGTGGTAAGGTAGAACTGCACACAGCGGAACGTTTCATCAATAGAGTCGTGGCTTGGTAGACACGGCCTCATGCTGCCGTCAGCTAGCACGTTCTGGCATCACTCAGTGGCAACAAGCATCATCCATCTTGGCCTGAGGCGTGCAGCTTATGTCCGGATTTCAGTGTAATTAATCTCCGCTTGCAGTCTGCAGAAGTTGCCACGACAAACCCGCGCAACATGCGGTGTATCTGCGCACAGACTGAGCAGTGGACAATGTACTAGAGCGTCTCGTTGCATGCGTAGCTGATGAGTGCCTTTCGCAGCACTTCTGCCTTGGCTTCAACCCGCAATAAACCCAGCTTAGATCTTTACAACGACTCAAATCGTTGGTCTGTTGCCGACACTCATTCTCAGTGAAGACACAAGCAAACCCGGCGGGGGGGGGGGGGCAGTCCCATAGCAGCTCTGCACATCATCCTTTGTGAAACTTACAATTTCGCGAAGAGGCCTGTGGTCCTCTCCCAACCTGTCCAACCCAGACTCTCCAGCCCCCGACGCGCCACGCTTACTAAACAGGCGAGTAGAGCAACGCCATACGGTGAGCACATGACGGGTGGATTCCCAGCTGAGCTTTGGCGGCGTTTTGTGATACAACACCACGCAGCCGACACATAAACCGACACGGCGAGCCGGCGCCGAGACCCGCCCAGCTTAACGGCGTCATTCGACAGTTAGGAGTGAGCGCGGTCGGGGGCCGCCGACCGACCGGAATTATGCCCGCCAACTGAAATTATGCGGACGGACCATGATTAATGTGGGCAGCGTTTGAGACATGGCGGCGGCGGCGTCTGGAGCGCAGCTCCAGGCGAGGCAATCGCAGCTGCGAATCGCGCCGCCCCGGCGCACCGAGCACGCCCGCTGTAAATTCGCCGCGTTCGATAACTAAATTCCCTACGCTCGGGCCAGGAGCCGGACCTGGACAATGTCTCACCAGGAGGCGGCAATTAATACTGGGAATAAAGGATCGGGCCGCACTGTGATGAAATGGGGATCGTCGCTCCCACTCAGACTTATGTGGACTGGGACTCAAAACTTGCGGGGCTTGGAAACGTCGATATGACAACACCCTTCCGATGGCAAACGGTGACACCATCCAGCCCGTGAGGGGGCTGATGCGCACACAAACGCTGCACCAGGTCTGCGGCTAACATAGACTGCATCCAGAGGAATGCGGCGCCCACAGTGTCGACGCATTCACGTCACCATTGCTTGTTGATCTCCCGCCACACTTCGCATCACAGAAACAACGTTTCTCAGCGTTCTGTAAGGCAATTGGAATTGACGATCCAAATCAGAGTCGGCAAACTGGTGTGCTGACAGGAGCTAAAAAAAAGAGTGTGCAGGGTCATAGGCCCCTGTGTAGTGTGATTCATGTATTACACACTTCCTTGCCAGTTTCTCTTTGTCTACAGAAGTGAATCCCCAAACCTTTGTGACACTGGGCCCTCTCCGAATAGCTCAGTCTGATGTGCAGATGCTGGCAAGCTGGTATAGGACCTCAGTGTGGACAACACATGCCTCCATGTCTCTCTGTCACTTCTGGCTCATGACGTGCGGCCTTGCCTCCAGTGCCTTCCCAGGTTTGGCAGGGTCGGGGGCTCAGAGTGTTGGATACAGTGAGAGCGGCGCCCGCTCAACAGGGTTCGGCCGGTCGGCCCGTCCAGGCGGCGGCGGCGGCGGCGGCGGCGGCGGCCGACTTCGCCGTGTTTACCCTGCCTCAGACCCCTGACGAACGGCTCGACAATGGTCCCCCTGTGGCGATGGCTCGAAGTGTCGCGAACGGGGCTCTCGTCGCGGGGGCAGTTGGCGCAGCGGCCGCACCGGGTAGCGGCGCACAGCGCGACGCGCGGCGGCGCGGCCGGCCGGTCGGGCGGCAAAGTCGGCAAAGTCGGGCGGCGGCGGGGCGGCGGGCGGCGGGTGGCGGGACTGAAGGGGCCGCGCACGGCAGGACCGGCGCGCGGCTGCCACTCACCTGCCATCGCCATCCACGGGTAGATAGGCGTGCTGGCGTACTGGCTGGGCTGCTGCGCCAGCTGGGCGCTCTGCTGGGCCGTGCTCTGGCTGCACGCCGCCAGCCAGTTGGAGGCCCGCCTGCTGACGTTCCCGGGCCGGGTCGACGGCGGCCGCCGGCAGGCCGGCGAACCGACCGGCGCCGGCCACCGCCGCCACCGAGCCCGGCCAGCCGCTCAGCTCCTTGGGGCTGTAGCCGTTCGGCTCCTTGGAGCAGTCGACTTTGTAGGCGGTGGCCGACACATCGTTGCCCGGGTAGAGCTTGCACGCGCCAGTCGGGTCCACGAAGGGCGACTCCTGGCCGCGCGTCTGCTGGTAGTTCGGGAAGCCGAGGAACCCGGGCGGGTAGGCCTGCTCTCCAGAGCTCCGCTGGTAGAAGCCGCTCTGTTCGAAGTACGGACGGAGCGCGATGTTATTGTCGCCCATGTCACCTCAATCACGCCACACGAGCACCTCAATGGTCCGGCTCGACTCCGAACGCTCCAAACGGCTCCCACCTGACCAGGTGCAGATTTACGGAGCTCAGAGACGCCCGCTAACTGCTCCCACTAAGTTATGATCACCACTGGTTGACGATTATACTTTTCACTACGATGTGCTGGATAAAATTTTACGGCAAGAGAAGTTCCTCAGTAAACAATCCAAGGCCGGGCCTGAGGGCATCTAGAGCTAGCCAATCACAGCGCTGAACACCGCTGGCCGGCGAACGGCCCCGCTGCGTGCGCAAACGACTGTAGTGCCCTGACGTCATCATCGCTCCCGGCCAGCCAGCAATCTGCTCCCAGCGCATTCTGACGGTGGAAGTTGTAACCTATCGTTCTATCCATGATTGTTCCCAGATGACGCCACTAATGTCAGTTTGCCTAGGCTCTAGGAGGGGCACATATATGGACGTAACAATGCCGTAAATGTTACTGGGATCCATTCCTTTTTGAAACATGTTTCGGGTCGTAGACAGTCGCAAAGTAACGCGGAGGTGAGGCCCTCGTGGAGGTAGCGTGGCCTTCCTCGAGCCCAAGGCCCCAGTAGTTCTTGCCAATTTAAAGGGAGTGTGTGTGTCATTACGGCTGTACGACGCACTCAGCTACTGGGGCTACATGGCGTCGCCTGTCTCTCACTCTGGCAGGAAGGGCGTGCACCGCCCTTCTATCTAACCCCGTGCCTTTTGTTTTACAGACGCACATATCAGACGTTCATGTCTTTCGTTTCTGAGCACGATTTCCAGAAAAAGTTGTCAACTGCCTCTAGATTAATATGGTGCAAAGTACGATGGCGTGATAAAACAATAACGCATTATTGAGCATATTTACTAAACAGAAATATTGTGTTGTTTTATGCAGACTTTTTCACTTATAAGTATGCGAAAAGCTATAGGTGAGATTATTACATTATATCTACTGTTTCCCTCAATATCTTCAAATGCGGAACATTACCTCTGAGTGCCTTTAAATGAGCATTCCCGAAACGGCTTCTAGAACATAAAACGTGTCGTCGAGGCGTCTAAAGGGGATTATATGGCTTTAAAATGGTTCAAGTAGGAGGTCAAGACCAGAGGTAAAAAGCGTCCACTTGCCCAGGGGCGCGTAAGAGACTCGCCATCAAGGCCCCGCCGGTCATGACAAGAGAATGAAATGCGCTCATCGTTCGAAAATCCACTTAACTTGTTCTTTCGCTAAATTTTGACTGCGATGAAGCTGTGCACACTACAACAATGACAAAGAAAATATATTTTAGTGGCCTAGACCTTTTTCAGCGCTGCCGTTTGAGGAGACCGTTTCTAGGTGCTTCGTGGATACACCCCACTGTATTTTATTTTTTGGAGGCTCATTCTAGCTCAGTTTTTCATATGCTCCTCGTCCTTAACGTGCTGCTTCCTCAGCGTAAAAAAAACTCGAACGCTTACTGAAAGCGTATACTCACCATATAAATCCTGTTGACGACACCTAACCGTCAAGCTAAGTTCGGACATGAGATTTGTTTATTAGAAGCGTCGAACAACTAGCTATAGCAAACTAGCTTTTGCATAGCTAGTTTCTTTGGCCCCTGGTGCGAGGAGCGCTCACATAGGGACAGTCTGCTCCGGACTATCACTGACACGGCACGATTCGGTACCGAAGTCGTTTCAAAGAAAGGACCCCTTGCCATCCACCTTTTTGAATAAAACCTCCCATCTTTGACTACCACGCTTCTCCAGTTTTCTAAAGAGCATCGAATTTAGAGCAGGCGTCTTAGGATGAGATCTCAAAACTGTTCAGGAGGTCCATGCGAGTTTTCACGATAACATACTTGAAACCCTTAACTCTACCGCATAACGATATATCACTGTTTCTATGGCCCCTTTTCCGAATTGTTTTCCGCCTCGTCTACCTATTACAGTTTGTCTGACAGAAACTCATGCATCTAACACGATCGTATGCGATGACCCACATGCGTCACAATAGAGCAGCCGTTTGAAAATGTTCAAAGGTCATGGCAAAGACTGCATTGCATGTTTCAGCTAAATTGATGGTAATGCGAATTGCGTAACTCTGTGACACTGGACCAGTCAATCTTTGTAGATGACCCATATTTCCGTGGAGAATAGAGCATGTGGATATCGTTGGCTGGTCGTCGCCGCCCGTTTCAGGGCCTCTTCCTCATCTCGTTTCGTGGGCGTATCCATTAAATTACAACGTCTCAGGCCAGTTCGTATTGACCGTAAAGACAGCTGTGGCCGCCGTCCCGAGATGGCAGCACGGTCGGCCGAGCAGGGTGACGAGCCAGCCACGCTCCGCAGCCGGCCGCCGCCGCCGCCGCTGCTGCTGACGGCTCGGCCCGCATGCGCCAATTGGGGCCCATTGCTCAAGGTTATGGCGCCGTATGAGAGGAGGAACGGCCAAGAGCCGACGGTCTAGAGGAGGATCGAATGGACGCACGCCCCGGGGGGGGGGGGGGGGGGGGGGGGGAGGCAGGGGACACTGGCACATTCACACAAAGGGACGGGTATATAATCGGGAATTGGAACCCGTAGAGAACGTGTCGTTCGGCGTGGAAATTCCCTGCGATAATACTGATATCAACTTCTTGCAGCGAAACTTATGTGACACGAAATGGTGCTTACAGCTGGCTGCATACCTACTATAGCGCATACTAGCTATGCAAAACGCCAAGGTCCAATTTGCCACTAACTGCCACGAACTTGCAAAGCTTGTTGGGCCTTGCCGTTAAGTGGAGTTAGTCGCACCTGACACAAAGTGAAATGGCTCCTTTGTTTGCACAATGACACTAGCAATGGAAGAAGAATAATCGCCCTTTCGCTTTTAAACAGGGAGGGAAAAGTACCCTTGAATACACAGTGGTCATGGCGTAAGCGCACCCCATTTGAATAGTTGATAATACTAGCCTTTTTCAGGCTCACATTAAGGGGGGTAGTTTCGTAACATGCGTTTCGGGCTGAACGCGCACATGCTAAATCAATGTCTCAAGCGCGCCATAAAGCTGTTTTCTCCCTGGATTTCGCTCACTTATCACCAATTACCGACAAAGTACGGAAACCGTCAAGATTTTCTTCTGCTATCGTTAGGCCCTAACCGATAAAGGCCCAATGCGAAGGTAAAAAAAAAAGAGAGGAGCAAGCTAACGGTATGTGCTCAGCACTACCTGTGGAGGTAGACTGGCTGACATTAACATTCATTAGAGAATGTTAACATTCAAAGCAATGTTAACATTCATAACCATCAATGACATTAGACATTCAAAACTGTCTCCTCCATGCAACAACTAATTCCTTATTTTATATTATTTTTTCGACGCGTGTAGGATGTGTGATTGGTTGCATCGAAATTGGGTCGACATTGTAGCAGGGACAGTGCAGCACGCGTCTGGCAGGAGCGCTTGAGCGCATGCCAGTGTATGCCGTTATCGGTGTGCACCCCCAAACATAAGCGGTGCGCGCTCCAAACAACAATGGTGGGAACCCCAAACAGCAGCGGTACGGACCCCAAACAAACAGCGGTACGGACCCAACAACAGCGGTACGGACCCCAAACAACAGCGGTGCGCCAACCCAAAACAACAGTGGTACGGAACCCAAACAACAACAGCGGTGCGGACCCTAACAACATTGGTGCGCGCCCCAAACAACTCTGAGTATGGCCTTGATCCAATCAGGACAACCTTTCCACATAATGCAAACATCATATACAATTCGGGCTCATTGGCATACACTTGGGGCAAAGTGAAACCCTAATGGGCAAACCTCAGAAAAAAGGCGGCCAAATCGGTGTGCTGTTTGCTGTTTGTTTGCAAACTGTTTGCCCCAAATTGTAAATATAAAGTGGAAGTCTTGTATGCTACCCTTGTTCTTGTAACTTAACACCGTTGTGTAAACAAGCGCGACAGGGCTGGTACATACGCCGGATGAATATTGGGACACCAGTGCAACAGCTGTAAAAACAGTGCGGCAGGAGGTACATATGCTGAATCAACATTGGGACACCAGTGCACCAGGGCCACGCGACTGATTTGCCCTAAAACATTGCAATTGGCCTGGTGTGCGGCAAAACATGTTGTATTACACAAGAAATATTACCAAACCTTATCAGCGTTATTCGGGGGCTAAAACGCTCCATTCCGAGCTTGGATACAATAAGACAAGCGACATCCTCCAAAACACGTTTATGCCGTGGTAATGTGCACACTCGGTCACCTCAATGTCAGTCTCACTTCCAGCCACCGCCCGCCGCCGCCGGTCGGTGAAGCCGGTATGGCGCAACTGAACCCAATCCCTTTCCTCGCGGAATGCTAGCATCCACAGCATTTTGGGAAAAAGAACACACGGCATGAAAAGCAACGTTTAGAATACCATGTACAAGAGTGTTTTGTACCTTTTTGTTAGCTACTTATCGTGACGCATTCCTGAAAAGCAGCATTATCCCGTGAGGCCCCGGGCTTTCAACACGACCAGCGATGTTTAGCAGTGCCACTCTCAGTTCGCTTCGCTTCATGTTTGTTGCTGTCATATCTTCCGGTTCTAGCAGGTCTTAAACACTACCTCAGCATCTCTTAAAAGCGGTTCTCTGAGGTCACTGCGAGAAATGGTTAGAAATAAGCTGTCGAACTGGTCGCGAGTCTAAACTGACCTCCACCATGCCATCGTCAAGCTGTCGCCACAGGCCGTCGTCAACAAAAACAAAAGCCCAGAACCTGGACTGCGCGCGAAGCTTCCGAGACCGATCCTTCATCATGCTCGCTGACTGGATCTTAGCTGGAGCTCGGTGCTGTGCGTTTCTCTGTTTGGGCAGTTTGACGCCTTGATCTGGAGTGTGAAGCCCACTCCAACCGGCTCATCCCGAGCTCACCCAGGCGCATCTGATCCAGTCATAGCGAGTGCTGGCGTGGCCGTGTCAGTGCAAACTGGCTCCACCGCAAATGGTGACGCGTGGATG